TATATATATATATACATGTATATATATATATGCATGTATGTATGTATTTGGTATTTGAATGGATCAGAGTCAGCTTTGTAAATTCATAATTTTGGCAGTGTCGTTGTTCTGGATCTGATTTTATGATGACAACTGAAGATGGTGACAGAGCCAATTGTCCTGTCAGTACTTGGCCTGAGGGTGAAATGAAAATAAGCCTGACTGTAATGTGCTGTATGCGATTCTTTCCAAGTGACCACACCTTGTGGCTTGTTATTCACGAGTTCCAAAGTCTTTCTCAGGGGAAGGAGCAGTTGGATTATGGTTTTTCTTGTTGCTTTCCTTTTTTGTGTGTGTGGCGGGGAGGGGTCTGGGCATGAAGCTCTGTTGGCAGAGTGCTTACTTACTCCGCACAAGGCCCTGAGTTTGATCCGGTACTCCGTAAACTGGGGGTGATGACTCCTGTAATCACCAGTCAGGATGGGGAGGCAGGAAGAACGTGAGCTTGAAGTCATCCTCAGCTGCATTTTTCTGTGTGTTTTTAATAATGACTTCCAACCATAGTTTCAATCATAGTTCCCTGCGGATAGAGAACACACTGACACTTATTTTTCGTCCCATGTGAAATCTGTGGCTATCTTAACAACATTTGATTCAGGGAGAAAATTGCAGAGTTGGAAATTTTATGGTGTTTTCTTTTTTATATTTTAAATATATTGACGAGGTCAATATTAAGAGCAGCTTTTTTAAAACTATCACTTGAAGCATCATTTCCGCTATCTGCATAATTGAAAAGGGATTTGAATACGGCTCCTCTAGTACTTTTGTACAGTCCTAGCTTTCCAGTGGTGATAATGTCCTGCCAAGAGCCACAGATATCATGCTGTGCCTCTTGTCCTCAGTTCTAAAATGCAAATGGCCTGCCTGGGATTTATACAGTGTCTGTTGTGTCCAGGAATCACACTTTCAGGATTGGTTTTCATCTGCCTTCTCATTAAAAAATATACATTCCTATTAAATTCTTTTCCATATTCAACTTCATTGCACTTGAGTTGTTCCCTCTACCATGGGTCATTAGAAAACATCAAATAGATTTTCCAAAGATACCAGCCAGCCATTGTGTCATGCTCACAAATATTGTTATCAGATCGGTGTTAACACATGAATGTGCTTCCATACTTGATTGCACAGTGAGCTTGGTAACTTCTGTGGATGTGGCTCCTGGCCTCTTGCATATTCCAGGATGTCAGGTTTGCTGGGTGCTTCTCAGCAGCTAGCTTAGAGCAGATGTTTAAAATATAGACTTGTGTATACGTTATTTCAGCTTATCGGAGTCCAGGTTAAAAGGTCTGCATGTGATCAACCGCTGTGCACACTGTCCAGCATCAACAGTGTGTGATGTGGATTTATGGCATGTGGGTATCAAGAGGGCAGTAGCTAGTCTTTCTCCTTTCAGTACATGCCAACCAGTCTGTTTCACAGCAATAAAAATGTGCAGTGTGGCTAATAGCCTCTTCATCATGTCCCCAGGCTTGATCTTCAAGCAGAACAGGGATGATGGTGGAGTCCAAAGTGTCTTTCATCTTGAACTTGGTAGTTCTAGATGCTTAGAAAGCCACAAGGGATGAGAATGAACCAGGGCCCTGAGCCTGGCCTGTGCTAAACATCTTCAGGATAGCTACCTGGTCTGTGAATCAGAAAAAGGCAAATCATGGCTCTACCATCCTTTCACGTGATCTTGGATTTCTCGTTTGTGAATTTAAAATTTCTCTTCTGTAAAATAGAACTAGTACCAGTTGACCTGTGGATTTTTTTTTTCAAAATCTATTTTACAGTATGGGGATATTCTGCACAGTTAATAGAGCATGTACCAGTTCTGGGTTTAATTCCTGTACCCTATAAAACTGACCTGGTGGCATCTGCCCATTCTCTCAGCAGTGGAGTTAAAAGAATCAGAAATTCAGGGCAACACAGCAAGTTTGAGACCAGCCTGGAACACGTATGACCCTATTAAAAGTAAAAAGAAAGAAAAATAAAAACAAAAGAAGCCATTCCTGACAAAGACATGAGCCTCTGGAGCTCTGACTGGTATTGGCTGATGTTACCTTTTGTATGGTGAGTCAGCGGCTCATGACAGTGTGTGGTTTCACTTCTCAGCACCAAACATTCTCAAGGCTGAAAACACCCCCATCAGTCCTGTGGCCTGCAGGGCAGTGCACAGTGTGGAGGCTGAAATACAGAGCAAGCTTGCCTCCCCACTTCTGTCTTTTTAGTTATTTACTTTAAATTCCTGACCAGGATGTCCACGAACTATTCCTATCCTAGGTATTCAATAACTTCATAGATTATTTCTTAGCTGTGTGGCTTTGCCTCGCTTTTCTTTGGTCTTGTCTGTGACCTCTCGAAGTAGAGTCAAGAGATAGTTTTATTTAAAGTAGACCTTCTCTCACACCCCTTTCCTTGGCCATGTGAGAATGCCTAGCATTTCTCCCTGATTTTACACTGTGCTTTATTTCTTACCCTCCTTTATTCACATTATGTGTTTGCCCAGTGAGCATCTTTTTCTCTGTTTTCAGTCAAGTACTGATCTTAGTGTGTTTTACTCCCCAAGTGGCTTTTCATCTCTGTAGCGGTTCATGGCTTTGTCAGCTTGTTTTCTTATCTTTGAATTATCTTCTCTTTTGTATGAAGCCAAATGTACTCCTTCCTGAGTCTACACATCAACCGATTCCTTGAACTCCTTACGAAAGACCCTTTGTCTTGTGTGCATGGCAGTGTGTGCATGAAGACAGTTATTTGTCTACGTTTTTCAACGTTAGCTTGGACAGTTCCCCTTCTATATTTATTCTTCACTGACCTTTTGTTTCTGTCTCTCTTGGTTTTGATATTTACTGCTTTTATAGACAGTTCCCCTGTGCCTACCTCCTGATTATCACACATCTGTACAAAAGACAATATTTGTTAAAGGACAGAGTGAGAAGGGCCAGTGATGTTTGGGGCTGGAACTGAATCATTCAAATCTTTGATTTCAGTTTGTTATCGTAAGTATAATCTAGGTGAAGATGTCATTTCCAAAGTCTCCCTTGATAGCAATGCCCTTGAGAAAAGGACTTCCAATGAAGCTCCCAAGACATCCTCTTGGTGGATTGGCAGGGCCCTCTGAAATGTCCGTTTGTGTCCACTACTTTCCCACTGATTTCTCTGTTTCCTGAGATACCGATGTGTGTTCTAATTGGAGAATCAGTGAGTAGCACTTTCATAGCTCTGATTTGTACTTTTAGGAAATTGTGTTTTTCTCAGGGTCTGAGGCAGTGTGCATCAGCACTCAAGGGCATTTCAGATTTCATACAATTTGACAGTTATACCTTGACAGTTTGTATCTTTTTGTGCTTTCAGTAAAAGGGGGATTTTTCTTTATTTTGTGTGTGCACATTCAGATATTTTGTGGGAGAGTGT